GTCTTCCCACCTCTTCCTCTGATCAAATCCTCTCTCTGGAGAGAGTCTGTGTCTGATCTGTTCCCCTGGGTGTGGTCCATAACCTAAAATAACAGTACTTCTCAGAAAAACACCTTCCCAAGACTAAGCTCATTTGGTGCCCAGTGTTCTGTGTAAGGCCCTTCTTCCCTCAGAGCACAGCAGCAAAACAGACTCAAATATATCAGTATAGGTTGCACGGGAAGGCTGATACAACCAAGATTGCTATGCCTACCTCCAGAGTTTCTATCTCAAGAGGTCTGGGGTGACAAGCTGCTGGTTGATGCCAATGTGGCTCGTCAAGGGACCACTTTGAGAACCACAGGCATTGTCCTAGTCTGTAACAAGTGAGTCAGGATTAAGCACGCAACCTGCCTCAAGTCAATGCCCAGCTTTACTGCTTTCCAGCTGTACAATCCTGAACAAGTCAATCTCTCCAAGCCTCGGTCTCTCCATCTGTAAAATGGACCTAACAATGATGCATCCTTCACAAGGTTATTGCAAGGAAGAATGAGCTCCTGCGTGCAGAGACTTCAGGAAGTGCTCAATGTTTACGAGTTATTATGATTCAAGGGGGCTCTAAAGCCCCCGGTCATCTTCTCACAAAGCTATGCTTCTCAAACACCAGAAAAAAACAACACCTACTGTCACTATTGAATGTGTCTGTATCCTAGAGCTGCCCGGAGATGAAGGCAAGCTTCAGGAACACCCTGGTGATTAGGCAATGACAATGAGCAAAATATACCCAATCCCTGAGGGGGGGCTGGGACAAGTTGAGGCTCCTTAGAACCTCCCTGTAGGGAAAGAGCTCAGGAGGTGGCATCGTAAGCTCAGAATTTGGATCCAGGCTCTGCTGTGTTTGGCCGGGTAACCTGAGACTCAGTTTCCTCATCTGTTCCTGGGGACAATCATGTTCACCTCAAACTAAAGGAGCTGCCAGCTTGTTTTATAAGCTCTGGTCCTCCAAGCTGTGAGAAACCCAGCAGCTACCCAAATATTTGTGTCCCTTTCTGCTCCAGTCAATTAAGGTGCCACTGCTGATAACTGAGCCCAATCGGTGCTCTCTGCCCCCTGGCTGTGCTGCCATCTGGATTCTGTTTCTTTAACAAACCCTCATTTCTGAGAAAGGCCAGGTCACTCCACTGGAAACCATACTCCCTGGCCTCAGCCTCGCAGTGTTTCCAGGGAATGCCACGGGTCTATGTACCCAACTGTAGGTCAGTCCAAGAAAGAAGTGATTAGCGAAGGGCAGAGTCATGGTCGGCGAGAGCCACAAAACCCACAGGAGACAGAGGTGCGTGATAGCGTGTCCGTTTCCCCCAAGAAGTCAATTTCACCAGTTACTGGACATGCCCTGAACGAAAATCCCACAGGAAAGCAGCACAGATTGTGTTTATCGTTCTGTTCCATTCCTCCTGTTTGCTCAGTAAGCCTGGTAAATAGCTTTGCGCAAACAGAAACCTTTTGAAGTGTATTGAGTTCTCTCCCAGAACACTGACACCCCAATCTTCAGGTTGGTGTGTGGGTGGAGAAAGCACTTTGGAATGAGACTTCCTGATCAATGGACATGCAACAAAAATGAAAGAACAGCCACTGGCCATTTATCTGCAACAGACGCTGATAGTCGCAGTTCCTGGGTGCTGGGGATATAAGAGAACACAAAGCATCGCCTCTGTCCTCACGGATCAATACCTAATCAGGGAACATTCTAGATAACACGCAGAATTAACTGCACATTATTTGGCCAATGAGCACTGGCTCCTTTTTAAGACATATTGGTCAAAGTGTGAGTACAGGAAGGACGAGACTTTATGAAGATATCCACCTACGTGGGTGTGTGTTTTTATTGTGTCAGAAGAAATTATAACTGTAAATGATTTCCAGAAACAAGGGATGGAAATATTTCAGCTAATTCTTCTAAAGTGGCTACACTGCACAAGCGATTTGTGTATTTATTCATCTGCACGTTCAGTTAACAATATTCTTTGGGACTTTCTATGTACCAGACACTAGAGACACAGACATGAATCAGACTAGCGCTCTGCTCTTCAAGACGTGTCAGTCTAGTGGAAACACATAATTACCGTTGGATGATGAGTTAGAGGAAAGCGAGAATAACAAGATACAAAGGAAACAAAGAGTATATGGCTCGTGTTATATGTGTTGGACAATGTGGCTAATGCCTACTGGGGCCGTTGCAAGTGCTTTACATACATTCACATAAGCTTCACAACAACGCTGCCAGAGTAGCTAGTATTCTAAGCGCCCTCGTACAGGTGGAAAAACTGAGCCACAAACATATTCAGTTACACAGTTAATGAGTGCCAGGTCTGGGAGCCCAGGTGATTTGTCATGACTGTATGTTGCCTCTTCAACTAAACTCTCTGATGAGCATTAAGAGGTTTGGTGACAGCTCAACTTTGCTTTCAGCTAAATCATCTCGCCCTATAAAAGCACCCGAACACAAAACTTCTTATGCAATGGGACTTATTCCAGGTGTGAGAGACTCCAGCAAGAGTTTTTCCAAGATGGAGTGCCAAGAAGGGTTACTGACTTCCGTGAGTGGCGGCCAGAGAAGCATCATCATGTAAAACAAAGATAGTAAGAAGGAGGGACAAAATATCAGGTTCCCGTTCTAGCTTTGCTCCCTCTGACCATGTGACCTCTGGTAATTTGTTGGATTTCAGGTTCTCCTTTCAGTTCCGTGGGGACATTAATACCAGGTCACATTTTGAAGGGCTTGGATATGAGTGGCTTTTAAGATGCCATATGGATGCTATATATAGATTTTTAAAATATGTTTCTATTTACTTCAGAGAGAGGAAAGGAGAGGGAGAGACAGACAGAAACATCAATGAGAGATAATCATTCATCAATTGCCTCCTGCATGCCCCCTATTACTAGAAATGGAGCCCACAACTTGGGCATGTACCCTGACTGGGAATAGAACCGTGACCTCCTGGTTCATGGTTCAACACTTAACTCTTAAGCCACACTGTCCAGGCTGAATGTTTTGGGTTTTGTTATTTTTTATCATCATTATTTATTCTGTCATCATCAGTTGTTGTCATCAATATCACTGTCATCAAAGGCTTGGCCCACAAATATATCAAGGTGTATTTGTTGAGTGTGAATTAGTCTTAGAGGTCAGAGTCCTAAGCTCAAGGTCATTTATTCAGTCACAACCGAAAACCCTAGAGAGAAAGAGATCCTGGCAGTGTTTGGGTCCGGAAGGGGACATCAGCAGAGCTTGCTGATGTAGTATGACCTAGATATGCTGAATGGGCACTTTACAAAGACTCACAGAACTCTGCCAGCTTAGAGTGCCCAAGCCGCCCCCTGACCATCCCTGAATCACCACACCCAATGCCATTCAAAGATTCTGTGTGGAACACGTGTCACCACCATTAGCTAAGGTGATCATGCATTCTTTATCAGTATCATTGCAGTTTTATAGCCTTTTCCTTACAGTGTGGTATTTTTAGGTCTTCTTGTCTCCCCAGCCCGAGTCACATAATCTGGGCTCTTTTCGCTCCTCTTGCTATGCTGTCCAGCAAGTGGCTTTTCTTGCCTATGTCCACGCATGACACAGGCTGGCGTGCTCTACAGCCTTTGCTCTGATTAACTCTCTGTTTTGTTTGATTTCTAGCCAAAACCCAGCAACTCCCTGGGTTTTACTCCCAGTTGCTCAAATAAATAAGCCAAATGTTAATTTGTTGCTCATTGATTACGATTAAGTGCAGAAATGTTGTCACCGGAAATATTAATGTTTTTCTAGGAGCCCGCAGTGGCACTGTAGTGGTATTGGGTTTTGTTTTGTCTTGGTTTACTGGCGAAGCAGGGGGGAGGGGGGAGGAGGGAGGGGGAAGAGGAGGTGGGGAAGGGGATTCCCCTTTTTCAATGTCCATTATCTCATTTGATTCTCTGAAGAGCTTGGCAGAGTAGAAAGAACAGGAAGTGTGATCTGTATGTCATAGGGCAGAGGAAACCGAGCACAGAAAAATTAAGTCGCTTGTCCGTGGCCACTCGGTTCAGAAAAAGCTAACGCAGCTACAACTCGGTCAGCCTGACCCCCAGTTCAGCGCACTTGGGAGTGGCTCCACTTCCCATATGTCATCACGTGGGACAGTAATAATTTGTACGATATATTTTCATAGACAATTTTTGGGTTATCCAGAAGGCTTACCATGTGATCAAATATGCCAATAACAGGCTATATATTGCATCACTCTGTGAGAGATTCACTGTGCTGATTAGCTAATAAAAGTCTCTGAGAAGTCCTTCTGTACAAAATGTACACTTCTTTTGTTGTTTGTTTGTTTGTTTGTTTGCTAATCCTCCCCGGGGATATTTTTCCATTGATTTTTAGGGAGAGCAGAAGAGAGAGAGAAAGACAGAGAAACATGGATGTGAAAGAAACATATTAATTGGTTGCCTCTTGCACAAGACTCCACTAGGGAGGAGCCTGCAACCAAAGTACATGCCTTTGACTAGAATCAAACCTGGGACCCTTTGGTCCACAGGCTGATGCTCTATCCACGGTGCCAAACTGGCTAGGGCTAGATGTACATATTTTTGACACAGAATTGTCCGGACACATTTGACCACGAGGAGGCAAGGGCAAAAGCAGAGAGACCATGTGCCAACAACATGGGTAAGAGTCAGGGGTGCTTGGGTGAAAAGGAAAACTGAGTGAGAAGAACGTATTTCAGGGGCAGAGCCCCCCACATTGCTGGTGGACAGGATATAATTAAGGGAACTAGAAAAAAGAGGAGACAAGAAGGAGTCGGAGACATTAGGTCTGAGCAACGATATGAAGAGAATGGCCACTTCCTGCAGGAAGCTCTCCTGGACTAACAGCTCCACCCTTCCATTGTAGTCTCTCACTCCACCAGAACCCTGGTCTTCAGAAACTGCAGTTTTAGTTTGATTTTTGTTAATAAACATTGAGAAAATACATGAGCTTATAATGTTTTACTTACTAAAGTCCGCCCTCTACATTCTCAGGTGCTGCATCCATCCATTCAACCAACCGCAGGTCAAAAATGGCCTAAAAAAATAAAAGGTTACATTGTTGGTAGGCTTACCTATACATGGACTCTGAAGGCTCACAATGGCTGCATCCGTAATGAACACGTACAGAAGTTTTTATTGTCATTATTCCCTAAACAAAACAGTATAACCAGTATTTGCACAGCACTCACATCGTTTTAGGTATTGTAGGTAATCTAGAGATGATTTAAAGCACATGTGTCAAACACAAGGCCCGCGGGCCAAATCCGTCCCGCCAGGCCTTGCAATGTGGCCCGCACCGCGCTGTCATCACTGCACTCCGCTGCGTTTCCATCACAATGACAGTTTATGACTTCAGTAAACCATTCGGCCCGCGATTTAGGCTGGATTTTAGATTTTGGCCCCTTCTCTGATTGAGTTCGACACCCCTAATTTAAAGTATACAGGATGATATGCATATGCTATATGCATATGTTATGCCATTTAAAAAATACATTTTTTTAAATCACTTTCAGAGAGGAAGAGAGAGGAAGAGAGAGAGTCAAACATCAGTGATGAGAAAGTATCATTGATCGGCTGCCTCCTACACGCCCCACACTGGGGATTGAGCCCGCAACCTGGGCATGTGTCCTGACCGGAATAGAACTGTGACCTGGTTCACAGTTTGGATGCTCTATCATTGAGCCATGCTTGTTGGGCTGTTATGCCACTTTTTTTTTTTTTTTTTTTTTTTATAAGGGACTTACGTCTCTATAGATGTGGGTATCTCTGGCAGATGCTGGAGCCTGGATTTCAGATGAAGCTGGTGCTATCCGGTGGGAGGGAAAAGTCCAGTTGGCAGGACGACAGTAGGCGCTTGCCCCATACCTGCTCCCAAAGGACCACTGAGCGGAAGCCCCTTGCTCTTCTAGCCCTCACTGCTCTCTGAACCTTGCTTGGCACATTGCCGTTCTTTTCTTGTCTAGTTAGGAATAGACAAAGATACCCTTCCCATCTGGACCTTTCTTAAACCATTCACCCGAAAGTCTGGTCTCAGATTCCAGGACCTGGGCAGCTCGCTTGGCCAGAGGCCCCGCCACAGTGCACGGAACAGGCTCACATGATTTCCCTGGCTCTCACTATGAGGGCTCTCCCTGAGAAAGCTACTGGGCAAGTCATTTTTGGTTTCAGTTCGTCCCTTTTTCTTTTCCACTTGGTCGCCCAGGGTGACTTCTACACTGAGAGTTTCTCCCCCGGGGACCATCCACTCCGGCACCGCTTGCTCCCCGGGTGCAGATGTTCTCGGCCCCCCAGTGCCTCCTTTCCCCAGAAGAGGTCACTCCTTGATTAAGAAAACTAGTAGTTTTACCCCAACCCCCAGCCCCCTGCTGCCATTCAATACAAATTTCTTCTCCCAGTGAATAACCAACGCCCAAATGGCCATTTAATCTTTACTAATGTTCTCACCATTGATTTTATCATCATTGTTATTCTGAAAAAATACTCGTTGCCCTGTGTGGTGATTATCACATCAGTCTTTGCAGAGATCTCAGCATGACAATCATTTTATTTCCTCCTCAAACTGACACTCTTGCTACTACTGAAGGACAAAGAGATGAACTGGCTTACATCAAGATTAGCAACAGCAAGCCCGGCTGGGGTAGCTGAGTGGTTGAGTGTCTACCTAAGAACCAGGAGGTCAAGATTCGATTCCAAGTCATGGCACACGCCCAGGTTGCAGGCTCAATTCCTAGTAGTGACTGTGCAGGAGGCAACCAATTGATGCTTCTCTCTCATCCTTGATGTTTCTATCCCTCTCCCCTCCTTTCTGAAATCAGTTAAATATATATACACTGAGTGGCCAGATTATTATGATCTCTGAATGCATAATAATCTGGCCACTCAGTGTATATCCTATATAATATAATATGCAAATTGTCCTCTCTACCAGATGTTCAACCAGTAGGCAGGCCGACCAACCGCCCATGTTCCCTTCCCCTGACCAGTCTGGCCGGACCCCACCCATGCACGAATTCATACATCGGACCCTACACACACACACACACACACACACACACACACACACACACACACATTGAGTGGCTAGATTATTATGCATTCAGAGATCATAATAATCTGGCCACTCAGTGTAATTTGTTAAGACTATCAACAGCAAAAGTTAGCAGAGACCTTTGGTGGTAAGACCTACTCCTGATGACAAGTACTGAAAGGAAGGCATCAGGGTTTAATTGGCTGGGCCACCTTTCTAAGGGAGGAGTGAAAGGCTGGAACACAGTAGTCATTCAAGGTGAGGGGCACCATCCTGTGAAGACGGACAGATAATCAGGGAGGTGATTTGAAAGCCAGCGGCTGGGCTAGTGGGTAGCTTAACAGTCTTTTCATCTTCAAAATTCCCAGAAAGTAAACAATGGCAACCAAGCTACCAAGACAATGGCAGCAGAAAAGCCTACCTAATCATCATGGGATGGAATAAAAGGTCAGGCCACACACCATTGATTCTTTGCCATTGAATGAAGTGCCTGAGGTACTTAGTATGTCATTCTGAGTTCTTGCTTTCAAGTAACATGTGGGGAAAAAGAATGGGAGGGAAGGGGGCACGTAAGTGATTAACTGAGGCTCACAGCCCCAGAGGTTTAGAAGAGCAGAACCATTACAAGTCTAGTGATTAGAGAGGGGGAAGGTCAGCAATGATCTTGGAGAAAGAAGGGAAAATGGAGTTGAATACCACCATTGAAGCTGCCTTCGTTGTGAATGAATTGCAAGTAACCATTCAGCCTGGGAACATAACACTCAGGCTTCAAAATCCCAGACACAAAAGTCATACAACCAAGAGCTTAAATCTGAGAATTATCCTTCACTCATCAAATTCCAGCAGGTGCTAGGGAGACCTCGCCCAAGCCAATATACACCAGAATGACAGAAAGCTACATTCTCATCAAACAAGATCTTCCATTGGGAACAAGTCTCATAGCTTCAACGATTTGATTTATTGGCAAGAGTCAAAAAAATGCTGAGTTCCCCTCCCTGGCAGTGGCAGAAATCTGGGAGAAGTCATAGGTGGGGTGGACCATATGCTCAGCACTCTTCGGCATGACACAGGACTTACCAAGGAAGGGTGTGGGGAGAGACAGAGATTTCATAAAGGCTTTATAAGCCACAGCCACCTTCATAAAGACCAGCTGTTGCCATCAGCTCTGTGATAAAGGCTCAACAGAAAGTTGGGCTGGATTCCTCTGTATTTCCCAGGTCTTAGAAAGGCCCGGTTATCCTCCTTCATTACTCTTCATTCAGACCCAGAGGGTTCCACGAACATGCAGAGGCTGCTCCATAGTGAGCCTCCAACCAAACTAGGGACTTCTTAGAAAGTACTGCCTGAAAACTGCTTGATTTTTAAGCCATAATAGCTGGTTATGCCCTATGAAAAGCTCACAGGTCGTCACCTCCTCGCCTGCTGCCCCCCCACCCCCACCCCCACCTCCTGGCCCCATATGCCTTTTCACCATTAGCCTCATTCTTTAAGAAAAAATGGCTTCTTTCTGAACACTGAGACACATGAAACAAGTCAAGGGCATGCGGGATGCTGCTCCCCTTAACTTAAGCCCCAGGGAAGTTGATCCCTTTGAGCAGATTCTTCTCCTTGCCCTCTATCCTTTCCTATATGTATCAAGAAGTTTGAAAAACGGGGAGTATCGTCATAGATTTTTGGGGAAACATGGTAAAGCCTTTTGGTAGGACAACTAGGCAGTATTTATCAAAGGCCTCAAAAAAATGCAGGTCCTTTAAATAAAAAAGACCAGTGCTAGTGACTTATTTCATGCTCACAATTTGCTGTGAAAATGTCAAAGAATAAGGATGTTCATCACAGAGTTGTTTTTAATGAGGACACATTAAGAAAGAGCCAATAGGTCTACAAATGGGGATTTGGTTAAGGACATTCTGATATATTCACATTATGTAATGTTTAGCAGTCATTCAAAATGGTATAAAAATATTTCATTAATCTGGCAGGTAGTTTATGATATATTATTAAGTGGAGAAAAAGATTTCAAAATAATAGTTGGATAGAATTATATTTTTGTTTAAATATATAACAGATTATAACAGTTATATTCTCATAAATTTACCTATTGCGAATATGATAAAAACTTGTGGAGTGATCGTTTTGGAATAGCGTGGTGTACAATTCCTCCAGTGGTGATGTTATTGCTGAAGTTTTGGCATTTTTGACATTAGGCAATTCTGCGGCCCTGAGCATAGAAAAGTCTTTTCTGAAGTGGGAGATCCTTCCTGCTGTCAGTCCCCAGGAAAGAGGTGTGTCTCAGAAATTAGGCATTAAAAAGAGAGATCCCCTTGCTCGGTCTTTTGTCCTCAAAAGTATAGGACACCCATAACCCTTGAGAGTGAAAGAGTCAAGGTATTCTCAAAGCTTAATTCTGAGTCATTTTGTTTGTGCAATCCCTTAGGAAGTTGCAAAAGCTTTTGTCCTTTTGATCTGTTCTGGGGAGCCAACAATAATGACAGAAATAACGGCCGTCATGGGGTCGGGCTCTGCGTATCCCTTTTCTCTAGGCCTCCCCCAGCTGCGTGTGAAATGGAACGGCACAGCCCTGTGTTGCAGGAAGGGACAGCTCACATTCCTGAGCAGGACACTAAGCCGGACGCTCTCCTCAGGTCTCTGCATAGATTCTCATCTGCTCCTCTCCACAGCCTTTAGGAATAATGACATCACCTCCGCTGCACCACGGAAGACACTGATGAGGGCAACAGAGAGGCCAGTGACTTTCCCAAGGCCACACAGCTTGTTCGTGGGGGACACGGAATTCACATTCAGGCAGTTCAGGCCTAGAAGCTCTGACTACTAAGCTCTACTGCCAAACCCCAGAAACATGAGAAGGTGGTGAATCCGAATTCAGATTTATCCAAAATCAGGGAGCAAGAGTAACACCAACATGAAGGTGGCAGAGAGAATGAAGGGGAAGCCATCCTCCCCAAATGGAAAGATGGACGCCGGTACTGCTGGCTCGGCCCCCACCACCC